GCGCGCGCGCGCGCGCGCGCGCGCGCGCGCGCGCGCGCGCGCGCGCGCGCGCGCGCGCGCGCGCGCGCGCGCGCGCGCGCGCGCGCGCGCGCGCGCGCGCGCGCGCGCGCGCGCGCGCGCGCGCGCGCGCGCGCGCGCGCGCGCGCGCGCGCGCGCGCGCGCGCGCGCGCGCGCGCGCGCGCGCGCGCGCGCGCGCGCGCGCGCGCGCGCGCGCGCGCGCGCGCGCGCGCGCGCGCGCGCGCGCGCGCGCGCGCGCGCGCGCGCGCGCGCGCGCGCGCGCGCGCGCGCGCGCGCGCGCGCGCGCGCGCGCGCGCGCGCGCGCGCGCGCGCGCGCGCGCGCGCGCGCGCGCGCGCGCGCGCGCGCGCGCGCGCGCGCGCGCGCGCGCGCGCGCGCGCGCGCGCGCGCGCGCGCGCGCGCGCGCGCGCGCGCGCGCGCGCGCGCGCGCGCGCGCGCGCGTGACTCCGTGACTCTCCTCGCACTGAACAAATAAACAGTCGTATTTTCCCGCATCATTCTCCTTGTAAATGGAAAGTAGTGAGAGTGAATTCGCGATTCCGGCCCAGCAAGGCGCCCATCAAACACTTCTCCCACACTGCCCCTCCGAACACAATACTGTTACAGTTACCCCCTGGTATATCACTGTTTCCACGTACTTTTACTATTTATGCATCTGGATACTTGATGTCTAAATACTTATTACATTGTTTTATTTGATGAAGATATTGTTATGTAGTTTTGCGTTTTATTTACACATTTGTAAAATCTATCCCGTTTTCTTACATACGTGACGGGTAACTGCGCTCGCATAACTCCTCGTACCGGAGAAATAAACACTCCCAAAAGAGAAAAGGAGAATGCGCATAGCACGCAAAACAGATTTCTTCAGTTAACTTCTTGTGAAAGGTGAAACTAAAAGCTACACGTGCAAAAGCGAAGAATTAAAGAAATAGCAAGTGGCCGAAAGCCCCTCTCCTTTGCTAAGGCAGCACAATTACCCACTCGCTGGAACTGCCGAGCGAGCGCCGGTCGCCGATGACAGCGTAAGGAAGCGAATGGAATGAGGCAGTCGTAGTACTCCCACGACAGGCATCGACTGCCAGAGAATCAATTAAGACAGCCACAAACAGCTGACACGGACATATACATGGAATGCATCGTGTGATTCACCCGTACAGTGTCCTCGGCCGAGCATGCTTTCGGGCGGGAAGGAGAGAGGGAGGCGCCCGCGAGCACCCACGTGGCTTGGCGAACATTCCGGGCGAAGTGCCTTGCGGGGCCGAGCAGAGACCGCCAGGCAAATCCCCGGCTGCTGCCAGGGAGTCTTTCGACCTGATTGCCCTTGAAAGGACCGCCGCTCCACCAGCCTAAAAGGCTCTCTTGTTACGAGAGAAGTTCACAATATCCGGCAGAGGCAGAGGACCTCCGCGTGACTGCCTGTGTTTACTCTTGGCCCAAGAGCGCGGCGCAGGGCATGAGCCTCCACAAAGAAGCGCGCTGCCTGGGACGGAGGCTGGCACGTCCGGCCTTGACAGCTGCAGAACAAGAAGTGTCCGGGCATGCCTTAGGCCAAGGCGAGGTCAGGCCACTGGCTGACCTTGCGCGAGAGGCACCTAAGAATCCTGGCTTGGCCTAATGATTGCATAAGAAATGGCAGATTCTCCCCCCTACCCTCTCTCTCTCTCTCTCTCTCTCTCTCTTTCTCTCTCTTTCTCTCTCTCTCTCCCCCCCCCCCCCTCTCTCTCTCTCTCCCGCTCTCTCTCTCTCCTCTGTCGCTCTCTCTCTCTCTCTCTCTCTCTCTCTCTCTCTCTCTCTCTCTCTCTCTCTCTCTCTCTCTCTCTCTCTATGTGCGTGCGTGCGTGTTTGTGTGTGTATGTATGTGTATGTATGTGTATATATATCTATCTACACATAAATACATACACACACATACACACACGCGCGCACGCACACAGTTATAGACTATATTCACTACATATGCGGGTCCGGAGCCATCTCACTTCCTGGTAAGGTCTGGTCGGCAACCACTCGCTCTCTGTCCAAGGGCAAGGCGGTTGCCAAGCGACATAATTACGGGGCATTTGTTTAACTAGAATGCCGTCCATTTGCCCCTTTTTATAAATGTCGGATTTGCCGGGAGAAGCCAGGCCTTCCTCTCGCTCGCCCGGTTCTGCTGGCGCCAACGCCCCCCCTTTCCTCTCCTCCTTCTTTCGGATTACACTTTCTCGTCTTCATTTTCACCTTCTCTCCTTCACTTTCCCTGCGCCGTCCCTCAGCGGACACGCCGGGAGAGTCGCAGGCGGCGTCGCGCTTGGGATGCAGGGCGCCGCGCCGCAGCGCCTTCTAGGGGAGGGCGCCGGGCGAGCCTTTCCTCACCCCGCCTCGGGGAGGAAGCCAGGGCGCCGTCCACGAAGGGGAGGGATGCCGCGGGGAGGGGGGGAGGGAGGGAGGGAGGGAGAGGGAGAGAGGGAGAGGGAGAGAGGGAGAGAGAGAGAGAGAGAGAGAGAGAGAGAGAGAGAGAGAGATAAAGAGGGCGGGGGGTAAGAATGTGATCTGCAATCGACATGCTGATAATGACGGCTATCGACATTTCAACGGCCTTTTTCACCTGAATAACACGATAACATTCTGTGAGGAATAATGCTATCAGCTTTTCCAACGAAGCTCCTGCAACGACGCTCCCAAAAGACAATCCAAACGTACAAATGTATGAATGTTATGTGAGTGTATACTTGCATCTGTATATATACAAATAAATACATACATATATATATGTATATATATATATATATATATATATATATATATATATATATATATATATATATATATATACATATATAATATATATATATATATATATATATATATATATATATATATATATATATGTATATGTATATATATGTATATATATATATATATATATATTATATATATATATATATATATTATATATATATATATATATATATGTATATATATGTATATATATATTGTATTATAATATATATATATATATTATATATATATATATATATATAATATATATATATATATATATATTATTATATTATTTAATATATATATATATATAGATATGTATAATATATATATATATATATATATTATATATATAATATATATATATATTTATATATATAGTATTGTATATGTTATGTATAGTATATGTATATATTAATGTATATATATATATATATAATATATATGTAGTATATATATGATATATATATATATCTATATATATCTATATATATATATAGTATATATATATATATATATACAAAATACACACACACATGCCCACGCCCAAACACACACATATATGTTATTCCAGAAATTTCCTTGAAAATTTGCATTCCCTCGGCGCCCCTTTCCCCAGTGGCCCGAGAGCCGGCAGATAACCTTAGCCCCCGCCTGCCACCGCAAGGGGAGGCCTGGCGCCCCACGAGGTCTTCGCGCTCCTCCTGGCGTCTGACCGCCGCCACAAGTGACACTTCGCCAGCGTTTCTTTGGAAAAATCGTTTTGCACTTCAACGAGGAGGACGCACGAAACGGCACGGTAGGGAGCTGCCGACCGGGCAGAGCCCCTGGGACGAAATCGGGCTTCGGAGAGGCCGAACAAGTCCGCATGTCACTGGCCTCTGCCCTCTCCGCCCTCGCACCGGCGGCACCTTCGGCCGGAGCCGCAACGCACCCGTGCGAACCGGAGGAGTCGCGCGGTGACACTGGCTACCTGACCTTGGCGGCGTGGATCCTCGCCTCAGCTCGCGAATGGACGCTATCGTCAAATAACACGCTATCAGAGGCTCACTGATAACAGGGGGGGGGGGCATAGGGACAGGTGAGGAGAGCAAAAAAGGTGCTTTAGGCGAGCTTCTTGCGAAGCAAAGCCCAGAGTCCAACTTTGTCGATTGGTTCCCCGGTTCTGGCCCAGCCGAAATCATGAGGCAATGCTCGGAGAATCTTGCTGCCTAATGACTGATCACTCGTTGAAGAGCGCGAGCATGGCAGCGGCCGCCGCATCAAAGTCATATCTCCATGACAGTTCCTGATAAGCAGACAATAGTGGCCACGATAAAGAGAAATGCCGCATCGTCTCGGCGCAGGAACAGAGCCAGTCCTGACTCAGGCCTCGCAGCCGCTGGCCGGCCGCAGGTGACGCAACAGGTGGCGCTGCTGGCGGGGCGAGGAGAGGCAGCTTCCGTATCCATTTACATGTCCATCTATGTGTTTAATGCACACACGAACAAGCACATATATGCACACGGACACATAAACACACGCACGTACGCATGCAAGCACGCACACACACACATATACGCAAAGACATGAGTGTATACATGCATATGTATGTATGTATGTTTGTATGTATGTACGTATGTACATACGCATAAATACGTATGCATATATGTATGTATACATGCATTATGTTTGTACG